CCTCCCTCCTCCCTCGTGCCTCCCTCCTCGTGCCTCCCTCCTCCCTCGTGCCTCCCTCCTCCCTCTTTCCTCCTCTCTCCTCCCTCTCCCTCCTCCCTCCTCCCTCTCCCTGAGCAGCGAGGACATATACGGCGTTGGCCTTGTAGTACAGTAAGTAGTATGTAGACCTGCTGTCGGACTAAGGGCCTCGCCGCACCACTCAACAAACGTGCAAAAAAAATGAGGATGTATCTCCCGCGAGAACGAGGAAAGGTACAACGGCCGTATGTTTTTTGTCTTTTTCTCATTTGGTGAGCGGTGGTGCGGTGAGACCCTGAACCTTTTAGTCGTCTGCGAAATTGTAATTGTCTAGCACGTTCCTGATTGGTGTCTAATCAAAAAAGAAAAAAGAAAAAAAAAATCTACACTGCGGATACGAGTATTTGTCGGAGTTCTAATGATGTTTTTTTTTTTTTTTTTTTTTTTTTTTAATTTTGAATTCGAATGATTTTCTTTTTATTCCCTTCCGGTTGCAAATAGCCTTCCCATCAGGTGAGCCGCCCAAAAAGGAATTGGATTTAGCGCCTGAATCTGGACGGGCTTCACGGAGAGGTGTAGAAAATCGCGATTGACCTGCTTGTCTGCATGCATCTCTGCTTAAAACCCACCCAGATTCAGGCGCTCAATCCAATCCTCTTTGCTACCTAGTGGGACCTTGCTCCTGCGACCGCAGATCGTCCAAGTCTAGAGTCGTAGCAAATTTCTAGGATTTTTTTTCCCCTAAATTCTTTTTAAAAAGACGACAGCCTTGAGATATCATCTTTGAACTGACTGGCCCCAAGTAATTCAGAATTGTTTTATGAAAAAAATAAAAAATAAAAAATAAAAAATTATGTCATTCATCTGGATTCGAACTTGGGTCTGTATTTCAACAACAGTTCATCGGGGTACCGACTGAGGTAGTCTCATCGCTTTGTAAATACTAAATAAAATTTCGAAATCGAAATCCGTACCTTTTATTCGTTCTCCCGCCCAGGGTTACCAGCCCGTACGTACGGAAGTCCCCGGCAGACCTCCGTACGTACGGGCGTTCAGGGTCCCGTACGGGGTCCGAACTTGACGGCGTTCGGCCCCACCAAAAATTATTTCGGGGCCTAAAAATAACTTTGTTTTTCTGAAATTTTGTCTGTGAGTTCTCTATGACATGAAGTACATGCCTATTAATTTTCAAGTCATTTGGCTCAGCGAAATAAGAATTAA